GAAATATACCCATTTCAACATAAAGTCTACTGGTTGAAGTTTCTCACTGAAAATTTTTTAGTTTTTAACACAAGTGGTTTTGTGTTCAAACACAAAACGCAAGCCCTGCTGATTCTGTGCTCTGTCCTCTAACCACAGCATCTCTTTTGCGACAAGTCTTAGGTTTCAGTACACTTGTGGCAGGTTATCAGCATTTTCGCAATCAAGTCATTATTAAATTAATTGTTTATCCAGTAATATTTAAAATTGAGATAAGTTTGCTTGAACATCTGAGGTCTGTTTCTTTCAAAAGAAAAAAAAACTTTGTTCAACCATACTATAACTTGCAACGTAAAACTGATCCATAATGAATCAAATACTAATTTCCAAATATCCATTATGGCATTATATGACATGAAGATCTGTGATCAGGGTTCATTACAATACATATTTTTATATAGTATTTTAAAAACCAAATCATTGGTAAATTAAATTTTACAATAAATTATTAATTTTCAAATTCATAGGCCAGAAAGTAGTAAGCATGGAAACAAAGGGTTAATAGCAACAAAGATTAGCAAACAGCAAGATATTGCAGCTATCACAAATCCCAGAGACTGAATATAACTGACAATACTACATAGTGTAAAAAAAAATGTGAAAGATCCACAAACTCTTTGTAATCATATACAGTGTTCTAGGTCTATAGACAATCTGTATAAAACACTAACAAACTAATAGGATATTGCAATTGTTTTCTATAATAGAAAGTTACAATTTATTTTTAAAAATACATCCAAAATAGAAATTTCCAATTTAGCCAGGTTTCAAGACATTTATAGTGATTTTTTTTTATACAACAGCAAGACAACTACAGTGACATTGTATTGCTTACACTGAAACTGATGTACTACCAAACTGCAAAGGCTGAACAAAATGAACAGACCAGTTTCAAAATGAACAGACTGACTTTCACTGACACTGAAGACCACACGACAATAATAAACATTTGGACAGAAAAGTCTGTAACTGTGCAAGGTATTGGAATTAATGTACTTTTGAAAAAAGTTTATATAAAACAGTTATTTGCACTAGGAACTTTAGCAGTATGAAACAACCCACATATACATGTGCAACATATAGTTTCATGAAAAATATTTGAACTAGTAAGCTTATTATGTGTAACAGTACTCTCACCTTTAAATCATAGGATTTTAAAATGCATAAAATTGTTTTTTTTCCTTTCATGTGATTTATATTAAAATTATTTTTCTTGCTCTTAACATTGAAAATTTTGTTGAAACTAAACTTGTCCTTTCATTAGCAAAGAGTCATCTTATTTTTGGCTAGTAAATGCCACAGTTTGCTTAAATCCTGATTAGCTCTTAAAACTGTCAAGACTGCCGAAGATCAAAAAGTTGAAAAATAAGCTAGAGGTGAAATCACAAAAATACTGAGGTATTTTAACATCCATGGTGGAGTGAGCTTCAATACTCATATTTTTGTTAGCTGATTGACAATGTTACTGACAGAAACCAGTAATATTTGCCAGCCTTTCATTCAGTACCAAAGAACATTCTCTCACAAGACTGTAAATGACAATAAATCACACAGGTGGTGAGATCATGTCATCATAGTGTTAGAAACACTAAGGGCCTGAGTCGAAGGTAACTTGATATGCTCCGTTTAACTGAGCAGCAGTTATCCTAAAATAACCAAAACAAACCCAGAACTTCACCATTTAGCTTTTCCATGAGCTGTGCATTACTGTCAGATGACTGCAATGGTTAACACATATAAATAAGGAAAAACCATGTTCATTCCCGTATTTACCTGTTTTAAAGCTCCCATTCCTGAGAAAACCCAGCTATGCCTCATTCCTTATCAAAAACGTGAATTTATAGTTTAAGAATGATTAATGAAATAATTTAAAAATAATTAATGAAGATCATGCTGAACAAAGTGAGTAACACTGAAGTAACAATCTCCAGTATGAGATGCAGCTTCTAGATCATCATGAAGACAAGAGAGATTACTTGGCAGGCAGCACAGACTGGCTGCACCCTACCTTTTTATCAATCTTGAACTTATGATGAAAATATATTATTATGAAAATGTAAGAAAGCTTTCTGGGGGAAAAGGTCACTTACCAGTAGTCAGAGCTGCTTGCAATGTGTTGTAAGCATGCACTTTGGCTCTTTAGAGGTCCAAATGTGAGAGGTATCCAAGATCATAAAATGGGTGGGTTTTTTGTCCCTCATAATACACAAATGCCTGAATTTGAACAACCTCATGTGAAGCATGACGAAGGTTTTTGTCCTTATGAGTTAACACACCCTAAGAAAGTAGTCTTGACCCAGCAGTCAGTGGTGATGGCAGTTCATGTGTTACTGCAGTCGGCTAACTTGTGTTCAGACTAGGGCACAAAGGGGAAGCAAGAACAGAAATCCAGAGAAAAAGGTTCTGATGCAAAACATTCCTGCACAACATTTTCCCCCAAAACATTCCAATACAAGGTAGAGTTTCACCACATTCCATGTAGGAAGAGAACTCAGCTGCCATGGCCAGCTCCACTCTAAAAGCTGTCCTCCGGCAAGTCAGTAAGTGCCAAGGCACAGCAGAGGGTGTGGCTCCATCCCATTAGGGGTCCACAGCTCTGAGTGCATTGGTCTGTGGATTGGATATGACCAATCCTTTAGTACAGTCCACCACAACACCCTTCTTTCTAAATGGCAGAGACATAGATTTGATGGGTGGACTGTTAGATGGATAAAAAAGTGGATGGATGGTCACATCTAGAGGGTAGTGGTCAGTGACTCAGAGTCAGATGAACATCAGTGACAAGTGGTGTCCTTCAGGGGTCTGTATTATTTAATAACCAGTGTTATTTAATATCTTCATTAATGACACAGATGAAGGAATAGAGTGCACCCTCACCAAGTTTGCAGATGGCACCAAGCTGAGTGGTGTAGTTGACACACTTGAAGGATGGGATGCCATCCAGAGGGACCTGCTCTGGATGGCATACAGTGGACCCACTGGAATCTCATAAGGTATAACAAGACCAAGTGCAAGGTGCTGCACCTGAGTCAGGGCAACCCCCAGCATCAATACAGGCTGGGAGATGAAAGGACTGAGAGCAGCCCTGCAGAGGATTTGGGGGTGCTGTTGGATGAGAGGCTGGACATGACCCGGCAATGTGCCCAGAAAGCCAATTGTGTCCTGGGCTGCATCAAAAGCAGTGTGGGCAGCAGGGTGAGGGGCAGGATTCTGCCCCTCTACTCTGCTCAGGTGAGACCTCACCTGGAGTGCTGCATCCAGCTTTGGGGTCCCAAGCACAGGAAAGACATTGATCTGTTGGAGTGAATCCAGAGGAGAGCCATCAAGTTGATTAGAGGGATGGAGCACCTCTCCAGCAAGGAAAGGCTAAGAAAACTGTGATTGTTCAGCTTGGAAAAGAAAAGGCTTAGTCACTTTCCAATACCTGAAGGGAGCCTACAAGAAAAATGGAAAGAGACTACAAGGGGGAATGGTTTCAAACTGAAAGAGAGTAGGTTTAGATTAGATATTAGGAAGAAATTATTTACTGTGAGGGTGGTGAGGTACTGGAACAGGCTGCCCAGAGAAGTTGTGGATGCCCCATCCCTGGAAGTGTCCAAAGCTAGGTTGGATGAGGCTTTGAGCAACCTGGTCTAGTGGAAGGCATCCCTGTTCACGCAGGGGGTTGGAAAAAGATGAGCTTTTTTCCAACCCAAACCGTTCTCTGATTCTGTGATTCTATGATACAGTCTTATATTACAGAGCTTGGGTGGAGGAAGATCCAAGCAGCTCAGTTAGTAGAATTGACAGGAACACAGAAATTCAGGGTCAGAGGCAGTTCTCAGATTCTTTTTGACTGGTTGTGATCCTCAGGTACTGAGAAAAACTACAGAACGCAAGAACTACAGAACTCAATTCTCATTTAGTAGTCTCTTGGTGTTAGGGTGGCCTTGGAGCTGCTACTGCAGAGTGGGCAAGGGCTTCCTTTTAAGCTGATCTTCTGGCTAAGCAATTTTTGGTGCAACCATGTGTTTCTTGATTGTGTGAGGCTCTTCCTCACCAGTTTCGCCAGAGAACGAAAGAGTTCGTGCTAAATAGAACTTGGTCTTGATCCAAGATTCAGATAATCCTAAATGCTGTTGTCTGAAGTAGACCAACACTTTCACTGGGATACTTCTCTCACTTTAAGCAACAGGTAATAAATGTGCTAGGGATGTGTCAGTATTACTTGTCAAGTGAGTCACATGCCTCAAGACTGGAAAACATTAAAATCCATTCTTAGGCGGAGCCATGGAGTATGATTCAGGCAACATGTATGGAGTATCTAGACCCATTTCTAATGAGGAAAGGAAAAGCAGCAGAGACCACGCTCCTATAGGGAGGGGCACTGGGTTTGACAAACTCAAATTTAAAAAATAATCATTCAGGACTGGTTGAAAAAGAGAACTACGTAGCCAAAGGCTAACGATAATAAAAAAATAAAGACATGGGCACAAGTCAAGAGGCATCTAGAATGCCTCCATCACTGGGCACTGAGTATGAAAGAGGGAAGGGTAGGGTGAAAAAGCTTTAAGTTCTGAGACCAGAAAAAAAAGGAGTATGCTGTCTTCGAATACCTGCAGTACACACTTCTCTGTCAGTTTTTCATAGTATAAACCAGCTTATGTCTACTACCATGTGATACTACACCACAGTGTTCTGGTGTATCTGCAAAACAGTACCGAATCTTCGCTGCTTCACTTCTGATCAAGTGCATCAACATAACAACAGAATATTTTAAAATGTGAACTTCCTCTACTTTCCCTGAACTTGTAATGGTATCCAGTGTTCAGTTCAGCAAGAAACAACTCTCTTCAAAACAAAAGCCAAAACTAAGTTTGGTCTTGTTTGCATGGAAACACTGGCCTTTTCAGGATGTTTGATCATGTATTTTCAATTTGATAAGTAAGAATGAACTAGTAGCAAAACACTGAAAACACAACTTGGAGAGGAAAGTTAATTTATTTCTCTAAAACATCACACTAACTCAAGATACCTTAGTTCAGTCAAAGCTTCTTCAGTTTCCTCATAAGCCTGGACTTCATAAACAAATATTCCAAGTCCGTCTATCTACAAAAATAGGATAGACAATTCTTACTTTCTTCAGATATCAAGTTAATTTACAAGTCCTTGAGGATAGATGAAAAATAGGAAGTGATCCTATATCATAATACACTCCACCATGTTTCCCAAGTGTACTGGAAAGGAGGAATATGAGCCTTCTTTGGAAAGGTGCATTGGAAGGCTTACTACCATCTCTTGGAGACAGGGTATGCATTTACATCACCATGACTGCCATGGTACAGAATCCTGGACTGCTACTTTTATACGGCATGACCTATGATCTGGGAGTTGTACTCTGCTGTCTCCATTCGCAGAATATATGGGATGATGCTATCAATCTGGACATTTCCAATCAGTCCTGCGAAGAACAGCTCTTCAGTGATGGCAGCGCTCATCAGCCTAAGAGCAGGCAATCGGAGGAGAAGTCTAGACAGTCTGGAAAATAAGTTTGGTAAAAAGTGTTACTTGGCAGATCACAGATTTTGGTGTTATTCACAATGAAGTTATTAGTTAAAGAAGAGAAAAAATTGACAAGGGACATTACTGGTCAAAATTTCTTCTATCTAGTTAATGAAAGGCTTAAATATTTAAATCAGGAGAGCATCAAATTTATGTTTAGTCATGTCTTTAACAGTACAGAAGATGTGAGTATGCCTGTCAATTACATGGACTGTATAATGTTTGGATTTAGTCTAAATGATGAAATATTCCAAATAGGTGCAATTCAAATTGAATGTTAATAATATTTATTTCTGATATTTAATTTTAGAAATTAATAATGAATGAGTAGACAAATAATACTCATAGTATGTATAAGCACATGCATAATATTTGAAGTGTTCTAAAGGTAATTTTTAACCTTTAAGGAGGTAAGAAGAAAATGTACATTATCTATTACATGAAATACTGTACAAATCAGTACCATCAATGACTCTGAAAAGACAATCAAGTGAGCATCTAAATTTACAGACCTGTAAGTATCATCTGGATATGCCTTTGTTACATAGTCCTGGAACTCCATATAAGCCTTTTCTTGAAATTTCTCAATCTGTACCACATTTTCTAGACCTGGGTGATCTGAAAAAAAAAACCAACAAAACAAACGCTCTTCATTGTTATACCTGTTCTATACAAGCTGCATTAAAATCCATCCAGATTTTCCAACTGTAAACACTGAAATAATTATATGGTAGCTGCAGCAACTGCACTTTTAGCGGAGGACACTGCTTCCTTATATTTCTCTTCCTTTAGGCTTATGTTTTACTTAGCTTTTCATAAATAAAACCAGACATTTTGAAAAGTTCAAATAAATTCAGTGCTTGCAATGTTTACATTAATCTTGATGATACCACTCTCTTCTCTGCGTAGCAGTAGAACAGCATTGTTTCAATACACTGGCATTTACTGAAATATTGTATGCACAAATAGTATTTGGGTGGGATGTGAAGGATAAAATTAAGATCAACAGAAAAAGCAGAATAAAAAGCTGTGAACCATTTGTTTCCTAAAAACTGTGAAAGATATATAGCAGATAATTTTTTTTTCAACTATTCAGTGCAAAAATTTCAAATGTGCTCCACATAATTTTTAGCAGTGATTTGAACACTTGAAGTCTTAATCTTGCTAAAATGAAAGGATATCAACCTAACTGCCAGGTCACATTAGGAAATTATTATCCAGTAATTCTGAACTCTCTACTTGGTCTGTAATTTTTATTATCCATCTTAATGAAAAAATTTTACTGTCATAGTAGCATAACAAATCACATAGATTTTATTTTGCACAAATGGCATCTTAAATGAGCTGCCAAATTTTGTGAGATAAAAGACTGTTTCTAACCGTCACACTCCTCTCCAAATACACAAAACCAGTAAACAAAACCAAGAGATTTTTGCTCTGTGGATAAAGAAGCTTTGGAAGCAATTCAGCAGTTAGGTGATACGTTGGACTCCCCTGAATGCGTTATTTCACAGAGGAGTATTTTGTTCTATATAGTAATTCAGTCATTCTGAAAGCGTGATTTCGAATTCATGCAGAGGACAAGAGGTTAATTAGTTCATACAAAGCAACATATTTTGAAGAGTTACCATTGTCAAGTAAAATGCACCACTTCATGGCGCTGCTTTTAGAGCAATGTCAGGAACGCAGCTAAAAGTCAAGTTCTGGAAACAGTACTTTGAAGATCACTGCTAGTACACTTGCAGCCAAGTCTTCTCGGCACACCCTTTACACTGATCTCTTTGCCCAAGGCTGTCCTGTGGCAATCAAACAGCTGGCTTGGCACAGAAGACAGAAAATCACCAGGGCCTACTAAAGCAGAGGTTCTTAGCCTCGGGCTCTGCTGCATGTGCAGCCCAGCCCCATTCTGTAGCAAAGCAGTAAAATCCCTGCAATTCCTGGCCTGTGAATCATTGCCAGAACAACCTTCCGTTCAAGATACTAAACATGACTTTCAGGTACATGAAGATTTTGTTATATGGCTCACAGGATCAAGAGTATTGAGAACATGTTGCCATTAAAGCAGATACACATCATTAGTAATGTGATCCTGAAAACATGTGAGCTAAAGAAAATTTTTCTCCATCATGTGACTGGATAGTCTTTTCCCAACATATTTTTCCTTCTACCTTATGTGTTGTCAAGTATAATTGGAAGGAGATAAATAAACTTCAATCTGAACAAGTAAGTAAATATTGTTTTGCAAGTGCAAGGTTCCTAGACTAGTATTTTCAGGTGTCTGACAGGACTGATTTTTCCAAAGGACTCTATCATAAGTCCTAGTGGACATCATTCTAAGAAAAAGGGCTTGAGGTATTCTTCCATTATTTTCTTTGTATGTGTACAATGTGTACAAGTGTGTACAATGTGTACAAGTTCTCAGTATAGGAATGCCATGAAAGGACTACTTTGGAGTAAGAACACCTAAAGGAGAATTACATCTCCTGCAAGCGTTATCCACTAAAATTAAACCAGCAAACACCCTCCCGCCATTCACTTTGAGAAAATCTCTGTCTCTTCTGAAATAATGACAAAAAGTCCAGGCAACTCTTCAGTCCTCAGCAGAAGAGAAAAACTGCAAACATTTTCAAGCACGCTTAATATTGTGTTTAAACTCATGGCAGGTCCTGCCTATCAAGAAGCTGAAACTGTTCCTGTGATTCAGTGGACTGTAAAAGCAAACACATAAAACCATGCAAGACCTTCCTAGTCATGAGGACTGACAACAGGATTATGTTCCATAATGAAAACACACAGGATCTGATTTTCGTTAGTGATCCACAGTAGAAGAGTATCACTGCAATATCCTGTGGGAATTTAACATCTTTCCTGGAAAGCTCTGACTCTACTTATACCACTTCTTATTTGCAAGAATTGTTTCAGCTCAGAAGTCTTCCATTAATGCAATGCATGTGTATGTGCGCGTATCAATGGAAGATACGCAGGGTTTTGTTTGCGCACTCAGATGAACGCCATGAATTCCTGCTGATGCTGCCACTCTTACTGGGAGATATAGATACTTCTTGTAGATACTCCATATAGAAAAGATCATGCAAATATGAGGGAAACTGCAAAGCAAAAACCTCACAATATATAAATTCTATATATTAGAATTTACATTTTGGAAGTGTCCAAATTCCAAAAAATTTGCTCACCTCAACTGATTTTTCTGTGAAAGGGTGAACTGCAACTGAATGGAAAAAGAAAGGTCTTCTTAGATCTAATAAATCTACAGAACTGACAAGAACCAAATACCCAGCTCTCCTCCATGTCCTACACTACAGACAGGGGAAGGTCACTAAGATTCTGTCAGCTTTTTAACATCTGCTCCAATCTTTTCTATGGGACATCATCACCTACAAAAGGCAGAGCAACAAGGATTAAGGAAGCTGTTGATGTCTTTAAAACTTTCAAATGCAAAATGGAGTGATTGAAGATTTACTTTCTAAATGTGACAGTGAAAAATTCCTGGAGATACAGAAAGTACTTGAGGTTTATAAATTTTTCTTTTATCAAATATTTGGTTTTGGCTTTATATTAAATCCCAATTCTGAATGATGAATCTAAGACCTGCAGGATACTGATATAATATCTGAATACCTTTAGTGAAAAGTTAATTCTACAACTTTCAAATAAAGAAAATTAATTTTGTAATTTCTACGGTCCAGTTATACTGGTGACACAATCTAACCGCTCAGTCACTATCTACCATAACCAGAGGACTCTTTCCTCCTTATTGTAGACTAATCACCCATAAGGAAAAAATAATTATTTTACCTTCACTGTCTAATATATGTGCATTAACACTGGAGAGAGTACATTAAGCAAATACTGTTTAGAAGACAGAAATAATAATAATAATATAAGGGAATGCTTGTGGTGTTCACTCACCAGAAATGCTATCTGTGTTATTAAAATATCTGTGTGGAGTAAGGTGATGTTTCTGTAATTTTGCATGTGAGAATCGATGACTAGAGAGATAGATCTTTCATACGTTAAAAACCCAACTTCAATCCATCTCAGCTGGATGTGCAAGAGCAACACTTCGGAAAATTAAACTGCAGGGCCTCAGAAAATGTACCCCAGAAAAGAGGCACATAATTAAGGGCGATAAATAAACAAATTAAAAGGAAAAAAAACAACCAAAAAACCAAACCCAAACCAACAAGAAGCATCAGTGGCAGAGGTAAGAATAAGACTCCCAAATAAAAAGAATTAAAGTCCCCCTGCAAAAAAAGTCCCCAAAGCAACATCCAACTATTTACATTAAAAGATTAACCCTCCTTTTCCTACAGTCCTCATTACACACCCTCCAAGATTCCTCAACAAATGAGGCAGTAATTCTGCAAATAACAGTATGATGAAACAGGCAGAAGTTATATGGGAACAAATAGCACAGTCAAAGTTTTACATTTGGAATAATTACATACCAGGACTGAAGAGGACGATAGCTTTCAAATATGCATATTCATATCCATCTAGACAAAGCTTAACCATGCTGTTACAGAACTCTTGCAATTTGAAGACATGCTCCATCACTAGTCTTCCTCTGTCTGTTGGCAGCTTATCTGAGTCAACACACACATAAATATAAAATGCCAAGTCAACACACATGCAAAAAATGTGCTCACACCGGAATATTAAAAATAATTATTTTATTAGATTCAAACAGTGGGAAATCTACAGCATCTATAACTTCCTATTAGGTCTGAATAATCTTGACACCAACAATTATAGACTGTAACAATCCCTTTTCCCCCCTTCAATTGTACAGTAAGGACTCCTCCTGCCACTAAAGCCTCCAGTAATCAGGCATGGACTAGAGCTTGAAATGATTGAGGAAGGAAGAGACTATGTGTAAAGAATACACTGCCATTGCAGCTCTGTGCTCTATGTCTCAGGGTCAGGTGCCATGCAGCAGGTTAGTGTACAGCTTCATGGGTTATCTTAATCAAAGACCACCTCACTGCTGCAAAAGGTGTACTATACACCTTTCCTGATCTGCATTGAGGGGAATGTGGTTGGTGCACAGCTGTTCCCTTTGGGTCAGCCTGAAAATCCCATTCCCTCCGTAATCCATCAAACTAAAGCCCCTGGATCCCACAAACTTATTATCGCTTGGAGATACTGCAGCTGGCATACTGCACAACTGGTTTTTGCATTCAAACTGAATTCTGTATTTAAATGGTAGAAATATGGATTTGTAGTAATGATAAAAACATGATTAATTACTAAAATACCTGTTTTGATGAACATGCTTTAAAAATTACATAGACCATAGTTTACAGATTCCATTTATATCCCCCCTAAAGACAATCACAGTTTTGTTAGTATCTTTAGCTAATCCAGTACATTTTGTAGTTGGATCAGCTTTTTTTAAACAATTGTTATTTATAGGAGCATCTTGTGGATAGTTTTAAATCATGAAAATCCCCCAGAAATAGTTCTTTAATTACCTAATCATAAAAGAAGATGAAAAATCTATAGTCGAGTGAGCTGTCTTTTTCCAGCTGACCAAGCTGTGTTTGCATAGCATCAACAACAGTGAATTTTCATATCCCTAACAGCAAACAACTCAAAAATCTAGTTAAACCTGAAAATGCTTAGATTTTTGTATGTGCATGTGCCTTATTAATAATGAGTTAGGACTATGAACTGATGAAGACTATTGACTGGTTAGCTTTTAGTGCTGACAACCTTGTGAGTGTCCACAAGCACACAAAGATTAGCTGAAAGACTCCTCTCCTGCTCAGAAGAACAAATGAAAGAGGTCAACTGACATGTCTTTCATTTGAATATAAATATGCCAAAGATGCAGGACATAGGATTAACAAGGAACAAAGTGTATTTAGGGAAGATCTGATGAAGGCTTGCATCTAGACTAAAACTAGGATACAGAAGTCAACAAGCCAAGTTATGTAAAGGAAGTGTATCACCAAGTTGGCGTTCAGCTGCTTTGTGTCACAGCTGTGAAAAGGACAGGTGGGTCATTACTTTATACACTTGATACAGGGGAATCATATTCACAATACACTTGTGTTCTCAACATTTGATCTTGCCCAAAATATTCCTAATTTGGGCTGATGATATTAACAGAACAGCAGAGCACTAGCAGACATTACCATACATAATAAAATCAACTCCAGTAAATGCCAATCCATATTAGACAGATGGATTATTGTTATATATATGTATATTTATTTCTTTTTAATTTGGAGGTAAATATTAGCATAGCTGATTTTTGCAAAATTGCTAAAAAATTCCATCTTGTGAACTGAAGTTTCTACTATTATTTGTTTCAATACTAACCATGAAATTCTATAAACAGCAAACTTACATTAACAACTGAAGGATAAGTAAAAAGTTTCTGTGCAGTTCAAAACTTAAAAAAAATCAAGTAATTCCCCAAGTGTGATGTGTGCACAGTGTACAACTTACCTTGCTGTAAACTGCCTTGAAGGTGATTAACAAACGCAGATAATATAGTTGCCACATTCATAACTTGTGAACATTGTGCTAGACCAAGCGTAAAAAGTTCATTCCAGCAGGCTTTTACTAATGATATGCTGTTATCCTGTCTATTAAAAAACACAATAATTTCACTTAATAAAACCAGCCATTTGCATTCATACTTCTTTTTAATTTGAAGAACACTTCATAAAACATTAATCTAATTCAACCATTGCAACCACTACCAAACTGAAGCCCTGCATCCTTTTTCTCTTCATGCTAGAATTAAAATACCTGATTTAAAGTGACTTTTGTAAAGAAATCTACCTAAAACGAGATAGATTTCCATCACAAAAGTGAGCTGAAGTAACAATAAATGACAACTGTTGCAGCATACTCCATCGTGCTAGTTTTCTTAGGATTTACACTAGTTTCTGAATAACATTTACATGCATGGACAAAAAAAAAGTTTGCACTGTCCCTGTACTGTGGATGTAGAACAGACTCAAACGTCTTTTTTTTTTTTTCTCACTTGAAAACGGACAGGTCGGTATAACTTTTTAATTAAAGATACGTGTGAAATGGAACATGTGAGATCAAGCTTTTGAGCTTCCTGACTGCTATTTTCTGTATTCCTTTCATGTCTGGAATAAAGGTTTGAAATACAGACTTCAAAGTATAAGTAACAGTCGTGAGGATTTCTTTGCTGAAAGAATCAGTCCTTACATTCAGCCTCATGCGTAGTCAGGATTTTTTTTCAAATGCTGAAACTTAAAATTAAATATATCAATGCAATCCAGCCACTTCCACATTAGTAACCTAACTTTCAGTAATGCCAAGCATCTCTAATTCGCAGAGCTTAACAAGAGCTCAGTACCTTAAAAAGGAAATCCTACCAGTAAGGAGTCAAAGTCAGGTACCATGTTTCACAGTTTTATCCAGTAAATATAAATAATGGAAATTTAAAAGAAGCACAAGACCTATCAAGGAAGAAAAGCATATTAAAGCTAGGATTTCAACTACAAAAATACAATGGAATAGATTTTTGCAAGAACTAAGATGTAATCTTCAAGAACATTTTTGATGATTTGCTGCAATACAAAGATGCCAAATGACAGGTGAATGTAGCCTCGTTCTTAACTGGATTACAGAAACCTTGCTGAGGGCAATGTTTTTTACTGTGATCAAGTTCTTGGAAGACATGATACTGTACATATGGCTTCTACACATATTTGTCACATCCTCATTCAGCTCCTGTCAAAGGGACAGTGAAAAAAAGGCGTACTGGCTACTCATCTGATATGTGTGTAGATAAACATCTCATCTAGAGCATCTTTATGGCTGATCAAACTTAGACCAGAACCAGCTCTCAAGTTTGCTTAAGTGGCCTCAAAACACTAAGAGGCTGTAACCAGCCTGATGAACCTTTCAGTAAGAAACTCTCTTGCCTACCAAGATGCTCGTGCAGAAAGATGAACTAAGCAGTGATTTGGTATCATTACCTACATGATTGGGCCAAAGGCAACTATCTTGATGTGACTAAGGAGAACTTTGCCTGAGAAGGGAACCATCTGGATATCCATCCAATTATCCATCTTCCTTACAAAACCATTACTATGGTTTTGGTTTGGCTCATCAGCTCCATGAATTTCTCTTCAATTAAAAAGTGAAATGAGTCACCCTTATAAAAGTCAAAATTATAAGACATACTGTGCTCAAACTAAAAAGACTGCATTAATTTCAAATAAATTTTCACTTGAAAATAGTTCCTATTTTAAGGCTCTTCAAAAGGAAAACTATATTGATGTTAAATGGTGTTTAAATATACTGTTGCCCATGATCTTGTCTGGGTCTGTAAATGCTAGCATAGGTGAATATTAACACTATTAAGACAGCTTACTCCTCCATATTTTTTACTCAAATAGAAAAATATATTGGGAAGTAACATATTAAAAGAACATGTGCAGATTTTTCTATAAGCATGTCTTGCTAGATTTTTTTGGAGAGACAGGTCTTCTGTATAACATTTTATTTTTAAAAAGCAATTCCCATTTTTCATTAGAGCACTAATTTGCAGTGTCTCTCTGTTACAAACACCTTTTAAAAATGATAACGATGTAATGTACTATGTTCATTTGCTATGTATTTTTAAATTCTGCAGGGCAACAATTTCTACCAAAATAAAACATCATAGTTACCTATTTTTTGCCTTTGCTATTCTTTAACTATATAGAATATTCCTTTTTCCTTCTCCAAAACATAGGCTTAATTACACACAATATAGCATTTTTCCTTAAATAGTGTAGAATCATTTGGCTTAAGCATCTGAGTAAACACAAATGGTAATCAGATCATCCTGCTTTTGAAAGCCTTCCTGGAAAAGGGGACAATCCCTCATTTTAAAATAGCATTCTCTTTGCTGCCACAGTCATACGCTATGAGATGAGAGCAATGCAGATGAGAGCAAACATGATTTATACTCCATTTGTGTCAGAGCTGATACAGTATCTTTATTTGTTTGATGTATCTTCATAAAATTACTTCTGAAAATAACATGTCAGTTTTCCCCATGCAGTTTTGAGATGTTTTTTCATGACGATAAGCAATGGACTACTACATTTAGCTTATGAATTTTAAGTGATACATTGAATTCCAATGGAGAAGCAGGATGTTATACCAACTGTAAAAAGAATAGTAAGAATTACTTTCTGGTTACAGGAACTATTTTATTTTTAGAAAATCCTCTGAAATTAGACAACTTCATTCTGAATCTTTAATGAATCTAGCTAACCATTTTATTCATAGAGGTTATTAAAGGCAAAATTACTACTACTAATTCATCTTATAAAGGTAAAAATAAAAAAGGAGCTTTTATTTGATGATTGCCTGATAAGCAATCAGGACATAGCCTAAGGCTGTAGCTATTAAAAAACTGATAGGAATTCCTATTTACTAAAATTATGTTGAAGTAGCAGCAGTGTGCAGGCATTTGATTGTTATAAATCTACTGCTTTTTCCTTCAAAACCCAACCAAAATCCTGAATTAGACTCAAATTGGGAGTAGTTTTAATTCAGAAAGTTTACCTTACTAAGATTTATAACAGTTTTAATAAGTAGTTTTATATCAAAAAAAGAAGACAGCAAAGAAGAAGACAGCAAAAATAAAAAATTAAAAAGCACATATTCACAACATAAGTGAATAGAGTAACTGAACACTTACCCTAAAGCTTGGAAAGATGGAATGGAACGTGCCCAGTGCATGGACAAAAAAAGCAACCTGGAGGCAGACTCGCAGATATAGTGAACGTTAAGATAATCAGGCATAGGAGAAGGCATGGTGAGCTGGCAATCATAGAAAAAGTGCAAGACTTTTTACTTTCTTCATAATATTTTTAGAAAAAAATCAGTCTTAAGAGTTTCTTTTAAGTGAAAAAGTAAATTGTTTTTTTAAATAAACATGATATAATCCTGACATAAAATTGAATGACTGACTTTTTCATTATTAGCCACACTGTTATATGCTATAGTAACTAAAAAGCAAGAAAAAAGGTAAAAATTCTGATTTGAAGATAAAGACTCCTGTCTGGGACTCCTGGAGATGGAAAATCCCAAATACAACTCAACTTTTGAGACACTCCAAGAGTAAGAGAGAAGAATCATTGTAACTGGAATGAAGTTGCTTACACTAAAGGGGTTACCACAACTCCTGAAGAGAGTGCGTGTGAAAGAATTCTATGTCACATCTTTTTTTGTACTTTCAATTAATATTTTACAAAGAAATACATCAAAAATATTTTGATGTGTGAGTAAAATACCTAATACACAGATGCTCCCAAAATATATAACCAATATACATCAGAAAGGATCAGCTCTACCTTTCTCCATGTCCATGAGTAAAATCAGTGACATTACTTGCATATGTGAAGAAAGTGAGATTTGACTCAAAACTGCTAATTATAGCACTGTAGTTCCATCTTCAGAAATTAATAGTACTTAATATAACAGTCTGGCTAACAAAATTAAAAAAAAAAACCCTTGACATTTGCCTTAGAGATGTTTATTCGACTGATCAAAACAGATGCTGATAAGAGGGGCAAAGGTTAGTCAAATACCTAGTACTAAAGAAGTTTTCAGATGAGCAAGCTTTTTTGATTTGTCCATGAATAATATGAAGAGGAAAAAAAAGGGATAGAAGAATTTCTGCAGGCTTGTAAAATGAGAAATAACGCCAGAAAATATATGGCTCACTAACACCGAAACTGTATTCTCCCTTAATCATTAAAGTCAATTAATACTAAAATAGGGTATCTACACAAAGAAGAAACTGACATTAATTCATTGGAAATTAATGCAAATACCTGAACTAATAGTTACTAATAATAGTTACTCCTCTAAGAAATTCAAAATAAGATTTAATCAGATAATTATTTTACATTACTATGTTAAAATGGTTATAAATAGTCAACAGTAACAAAAATATTCAGTACCCTGAATGCTACGTGAGCATCACTGAGTAGTGGCCCCTCTATTTCAACGACACTCGTGCCTGTTTCTCCACCAAGCAGCTGTGCATTGGCATCAATACTTTCAGAGTTCTGACATGCTGCGCTCTCTGCTGGATTTAATGCTTTTGCAAGAGTATCAAATGCCCTGTAAGATCACAAACAAGCAAACAAACAAAAAGAAATAAACTTTCATTTTAGAGACCGTTTCAATTTAAGAGGAAAATGCATGAATCTGAAACCTGTATTTAAATGTCTGTTTAAAAGAATGAGGTTTGGAAAATAAAAGTCAGTAACATACTTTTCCTGACATTCCACTGAACTCTGAAACAAAAATTAGCAGCAGATCCTGTTCACACAAGTTGCCAACAAATTCACAGTTTTGACATATTGGTTGTGCTGCTGAATCACAGTTTGCCTTTCAAGATCTCTTTAGTGATGTTTACTGAGAGTGCTGGCATGAGCATTTTGAGGACCTGATCATCAGATGCTGTTACAGTCACTTAGTGCACATATACATTTTACAGGTTTTTACTGACAAGAAGCACAGAGTAAGATTTTTTCTTTTGTTAAGTAATGAGTTGTGGTTAGGTTTTTCAACTGAATTTGAAAAGACTGCTTCAAACTATGTAAGAGAAAGCACTCCCATGCTTTCAATACCATCCTTAGTACCCTCTGACGTGTGGCAGTGACTCCTGTCTGTCACAAGCACAAATATTAGAGTGGAGATGTCACGACAAGCATAGATATATTACTCAGTATTTTGCTGCTTGATAAGAGATGCATTGTTTTTCTCTTCACAAATACACCTGAGAACCACAACTGACACACCTTCAATTAAAAATACACAGACTTGATCACTGCCTACAGACAGATGACATATCCTGAGAGCAGCATCATTTGTATGCAGTGTTACATGAAAAACTTACACAACTGAGGTCTGAAAACTTCACAAAAGCTGATTATCAGCTTGTATGTAGAGCTGATTCTCAACTCGTAGAGGTGTTTATTATCACAGAGTCTAAAATCACTGATTTAATGCCAAAGTCTGGAGTAGAACTTTGCCACCTTCTCTTCCCCCTCCGCTCCCTAGCTCACTGAACTCACTAACGTGCTAAAAAAAATAGATGTTTGATGTAAGCATTTACAACCAAATGAAACATCACAATGAAAGAGCTGCTGACACTGCCTCAAGGCTTGAGATGGTAAATGAACTACTTTTTGATCCTCACTAGACTGTATACATGTGTACACATGAGGGTGACTGGGCATACAAGAGGTATATGTGGGCCATTTTCTGTCTCTGGCAAATGCAAAGTAGGCACAAAGGGAATGTATTCATGGCTAAGCTCTACAAACTATACAATTGGAATCCTGCCAGGAGATTTGAGTTTCAGGTCTTGCATGGCTCACTCTTTGCAGTCTTAGGTAGAACAGGCAAACCTCGCAGCTCAGTGGAAGGTGCTTTTAAGGAAAAAATAGAATCTCTGCAGTGGTCTTCATGTGGCAGGGACAGAAAGGTAAGAGAGGAACATGACCTCCCCTTTCCCCAAAAGGTAAATGTCATATGCATCTGTCACTATCCTGTATTTATTTAAAGGCTGAAGAGTCCTTTTTTAATAGTGTAGGCAGGTACACTGGTTAACCATGTCTGCCCATGATACTTTTTTCCTCATTCTTGTTGTAGCAGGAGTAAGCCAGCAGAAGCCAGTAGTGACTTTGCTTCCTCAGGGCTCAGCTTTGTGGGTCTTTTCCTGACATGAAGCCTCAACATGAGCAATGATTGTAAGGTAAAACACCAATGAAAAGAGAATCTAGAACAAAGCTTGCCTGAAAGCTACAAAAGTCTAGCCCACAAAGTGAGAGAAAAAGGCATAATCCATAATAAAATACATGCTATTGATATCCTTTGCTATAAACAACTTTGGTTCTCTTTTCATCAGGCTTAGTCACTGACAGATATACAGGACTGCAGATAAACTGTAAAGAATGAACATAATGAAGCATTAGAGGACAAGGCATATAAAATTACAATATAAAAGTAGTGGGGTACTAGCAGCAAAAGTTGTACGCTACGTTCATAGCAGCAATAGTGAAAGCATAATACTGTAGCTGAAAGCAATGAAATATAATAAAATAAAAGTATGGATGGATAAAACGTACTCTCCAAAATCCCTTAAACTCCTTTTCTTCAGTAAACATCTCTGTCTGACAGATCAAGCTGGCATAGGGCCTGACAAGAAAATCAATGATGTAGAGAAAAATTTTAGTTTCTCCCTGGGTAACAACTTTCCTTTCAAAGGAATGTTTAACTTGAATCTCCCCACTGTAAATCTATTATGTAACCTACTGGACATGAGTATGCTGAGTCAGAGCTCTTTCAAGCTCTCTGGCTGAGAGAACCTGATGACTTTTCAAACACAGATTTTTAAAACTGAACAGAAACTCTGAACTTGGCAAAAAAAAGCATCTGAAAGTGCAAGGAAATAAAAGATTACTACATCTCTTTGAACAGCCATAGTACTGAATGATGTTTATCAGCACGTACAACAAAGCTATTTACACATCATATTGTTACACAGCATATTCTTTACCTAAGAGGACACAACAAAAGCCCAAATCAGCATCTGCAGAAGTCAGATTGACTTTCTAAGCAGTATATAAAGAAAGGAGAAGAAAAAATGTAATCCACTTGCAATTATGCAAAGCAGTAGAGACCGCAGGGGAAATCCTGTATTTCAGTCAGTACAAACCACTATATGCCCACCTTTTTTCTCTTAATGGGTTTACTCCACACACACATTTTCAGAACAGCATGTAGATGGTGTGTAAAAGAATATTGCTGAGACAGCTGTCAGAAGCTGGCACGAGATGACAACCAAAGAAGAACATGACTGTGATTGCTGGAGTAACTGAGTACATGCTTTTGATTTCACTTGGAAGAATCTTACAGATTTATCTTCTACGTGAGCTTATGCTCTTATTACCATTACTTTTATAGCAGATAAATTTTCTAATTGTGATGATTTAATCGGTCTGAATTGACACAGATCTTCCCGAAAAGAGTAATATTTTTCAAATGTAACATGCCTTACCTTGTAACATCACTACTAGCTTGTTCTTCTTGCTTGAGTTCAGATAATGATGCATCTCCATTACTTAAACTCTCAATCATAGATAGCTCTGTACTACTTTGTGATATGTCTTTGCATTTACTGAGATTTGCTAATGAAGTCACCACATTTGCCAGCGTACTTAAATCTCCTTGACATGCTTCAACCTAAGGGAAAAGAACAGTTTTCAATTCTCAGTTAATTGGCAGCAGTTAACCTGCAATAGAAGAGTTTAACTTTTACATAAATGAAGAATTGAGCATATGCATAGTAAGAATTGAGCATATGCATAGTAAGAAAACTATTTTCAGTAAATGGGTAATCACCATACAGCAATTAGAGACTGCACTGCATCTAAAATATGAAATATTTAGACATTTACTTTTAAAAGTAATAGCTACCTATTTCTTTCAAAAAGAATACTACAGGTAGTAAGCAAGTACAGGAAGAGGATTTATCTTCTCTACTCACTAGTCAGTTACCAGGACTATAAGACTGCACTTGATTATATTTTTAGCATCTTCCTTTCTTCCTCGTGTAATTAAGTCAGTAGTAATAGGGTAGGAGAATGTTTGAAAAGAAGGAATATATAACAAGTCACCTTTAAAAGCAAGCAGAAAAAGAATTCTGCTGCAGCCTTTTTGGTGTTTATGTCTTTATATAACTCCAAGTGAACAAGGTGATTCAGTACTGACCAGCAACTCAGAGAGGCAGTAAGACATGTTTTCCACATCATTACAGACAAGCATGCTGCTGCTAACACCAGCATGCTACCTGTCACTTAGCTTGTGTTATCATACTCTACAGAGCCAGAAAAGTGAAATGGAATAAACAAGTTCTGATGGGGCCCTTTGCAGACAGAGCAAGCAAGGCAAATTGCATGAAAACAGTATGAGGTAATTTAGTATCAACTAGAAAAATACAAAAGCTTCCTACTGTGCATATGTAGGGAAGTTACCCTGCAGCTTTAGTGGATCAGGAAGTGTAACAAAAGGGGAAACAAACAAAACCAGCTCAGAAATAAGACTGTCGCTGAGATAGCTCTTATTAGCTCTACAAAAATAGCAGTGATTCAGGGGAAAAAAATCCAACAGAATTTATGAAATGCGCTGTGATAATGCCAGGAGAGGTTTTCTGAACACCTCACTTTATTCATACAGAGGAAATAGCCAAGTATCAGGACTTCCCAAGACAAAAATTAAAGTAATGTAGCCCTTAAAGCTGTCTGAAAATGTGAAGGAAGGGCATTTACTTTGTAGTGTTTTTAGCATTCTTACTATGTGAGGCTAAAAGGATTCTTGTAAAGACAAGACATTTGCAACACTGGCTAATGTTCTAAAGCAGTGTTTTAAAATTAATTTAACCAAACAGAAGTACAACAGAACATCCTTCCTTACATACACAATTACAGCAATGAGCACTACTTAATGTATCTGTCATATCATCACATACCTTATCTGGAGTCATCAGCACAGTAGGTTCACTTTTTATTGCAGATGGATGAATGTTAACAAACATTCCTGATTCCAGCAGACCTGTTGATCTGACAGAAATCAGTGCAAATTTTAATTTTAATTAATTTTAAAACTGAATTTTCCTCTTTCAGCAGAGATAGCTACTTCTGAGTATAACACATACCTTGCTGTTTCATTGTCTGTTACAAAAGTTGGAGTTGCAGCTAACGGACTACGAAGATCTTTCCGAATGTAGATCTTTTCTGTAGAAGCTGCACAGTTAGAAGATTTTTCTCTTGACACTTCAATAGGTTTCCTCTCACACTGCACAGCTAAAAAAATAATACCCAACTATTAAATCACAGCCCAAATTACAGACTAAGAAGTAATACTTTTTTTCTCTATTTAATATTCAATTTTAACTAAAACATATATACAATATATCCCATAACCAACAACCTAGGAAGTTGGGTAAAAAACAGCAAACTGATTTGATTTGTCCTAACTGAAATGATGTGGTAGTCAGAGACTTAACACATAGACGCTAAAATTTTCAAGTTACAATTAAGGGATAAATCCCCTTATATCCTATTTTTAATCTGAATTAAAAGTGGAAGCTTAAGGCTTCTTGTTCTCTCAGTTTGAAGATCCCACACTCTTACTTCTTTGTAAAGGACTCATAGTACCTTTTTCCATGGATTGTGGGTCTGTGTTGAACCCACATAACTTTATGCACTTAAAGAAGCTTCTCCATTTAGGACCTTAGACAATACAGAAGGAAAGGGACATTCACAAAGTTCATTTCAGACCATTTAAGATCAATCTGGGCAACATCCTGACTCACAATCACTGACCTCAGAAAAGAAGCAAGAGTTTTAATTTGAATCCCTCAGTAAAACTAGGTGGAATGACTCACAGGCTTTAGCCGACAAATTTATCACCTTGCTTTGAACGGATTAGAGAACATTAAAATGAAACTTACAGTACTATACCCTACAGGAAAAATGTGGAAATGTGGAAAATGTGTAACTAAAGAGAAAAAAATTAAAAAGCTTTCAAATTAGCAATACACTGTGATGCTATTCAAATTTTATGTTGATAAGTATCATAAACCCCAAATGTCATAATATCATCAAGTATTGACAATGCCTTTGCTAACCCTGTGCTTTCTAGCAGCATCTGACTTTGCTGAAAAAAGGCATTAAGATCCACTTTCTGAATTAATTTCCTCTGTGCCTGGAAAAGTGTTACTGATTTCTGCTGACAGAAGCAAGGCTGTAAGGAGGAAAATGTCTGCAGAGGTTCAAGAGGGCAGCAAAATAAGAGCTGGATGACAGCAGAGCACAAGACTAATACTGTATGTACAGCAGTAGTGTTGCAGTATTAGGGCAGTATTACTATTTGTGTATTGCTTGACTTTCTGTGTGTTTAGTATTCTGATATTGCTGTGGTATTGAAGTATCACTCCATTTAACTGATGGAAAGCTAAAAAGGAACTTAGAATCTGCAAGAATCGATAAGAACTGAACTTTAGATCACTATAGATCTCTGCCTTATGAATACCTGTCTCTGCAGAGCTTTGCCAAAAGTGAACAGAAATTCAGTAAAAACAGTAGTCTCAGTTGTGGGAAAACTGAAGATAGAATTCAAAACATTCAGTAGCCTAATTTACACACAGGAAAACTGAACTGCCTAAAAAAAATGAAGATAGAGACATGCTGGACATCTGCCACCCCGGAGTAACAATTTATTGACTTTCACCACATGCAATGTGCTTATTAAGTTTGTAAAGCAATATATATGATTGAAAGCATTTCAGATTTCTGATACACCAAATTTGTATGATTCTTTAAAGAAAAAGATACAACGACATAAAAATACACAATCGAGATAATAATTTGCACTTATACAAACATATCATTTGTAGCACAAAGTTTAACACAGCTGCCAGATAAAACAATTTGCTCTTATTCAGACTTACAATCTTGTTTCATCCCAAACGCGATGCATCTCTGCAGCCGACAATACTGACATCGGTTCCGGTGGTGTTTGTTAATGACACAGTCTTTTGTTCCTCGGCATGAATAAACTAAATTCTTCCGTATACTCCTTTTAAAGAATCCTTTGCATCCCTCACAAGTTACTGCTCCATAATGACGTCCTAGTTACAAAACAACATAAATCATGACATTAATTTTACAGTGTAATATTATTTTTATAGAGTTTATATTTATTAAAAGCAAAGTATTTGCTATTTTACGCAGAAAAAGAACACTCTTCTTCTCCATGGATTACAGATCTTAAAATATACTAGGGCTATAAAACAACATAAAAAAGCAAGTGAACTGTTTTTCTAGTTCAAAGCTCTTTAACAGGACAGATTTTACAAACAGGAAATTTGCTTATAAAATTCTTTCCTTATCTGTTGACAGTAGTGTTAAAAAAAGCTAAGAAAACAGGTTAGCAAGAATAAAAAAAACCCAAACATTTTCATTTATACATTTCTCTAGCAATTTTTTCAAACTGTCCCTTCGGACAAGCCCTGTGATTGCTCATTACAAATTTAGCTGCTGAAATTGTATGCATTAAATCTAACGGAACCATGGAAAGCACAAACATGGAATTTGACAGCAGTAGGCAATCACTTCAAAGCTTTACTTTCACCTCTCATTTCCCTAACAGAGTAATGGTACATCCTTCATTCTTTCAGTAAAACTTCAATGAAAGAATAATCTAGAATAGCTATAATTTTTTATAACACCCCCCCCCCAGTTCTGTGGATTTTCTGTATAATATAAAAATTTCTAAGATATACTACAGGAAGTTTTAAAATTATTTTTAGAAGTAAGTTATTTTGATTTTGCATGAAATATAAACATTACTAAAAAGTTCTAGTCTTTATGAAGGCATGCTTGGCAATTACAATTTTAATTTATCAATCTCTGAAATAACTAGGGCACGTTACAGAAATAAATCTGAACTATGACCTAATTTAAGATAAAACATATTTTTAGATTCTTTCCTCACTGCTCAAAAACATTTTTTAGATACATCAGTCATGTCTGATGAAGTTTCCAGGATTTCTGATAGGTTTTCTGGTTTCCTTTATCACAACCTTTTTACCACACTAATAAAACATGAAATTTCAAAAGCATCATATATGTTAAAAGAATAATATGTGAAACATTTTAACAGCATCTGAACTGTGAATACTCATTCTGCAAAGCACCAAGGCTGCTGCTTCATCTGCTCTTTGATGTAGCTTCTTGGACTCGAGCTTGGAGGTGTCTGCAAAGTAGTTTTCATTACACTGCTTGTCACACAGGAGGCTCCCCAGAACCTGCAGCTCCTCAGAGAAACATGGGACCCTTTCCAGACTCATTACCACTGCTCAGTATTCCAGGGCCAGCACAGGAGGAATAGCTCCTGGGATCTCCAGCCCCTCAAGGGAGACTCCAGCCCTCCTAGGGAGTCAGTACTTTTAGCAATTGGAGCTGACCAACCAGATCTTTGCCCTAACTTTGGCAGAAACTTCCTTCAGTTGGGTGAAGTCTGACATGTATTTACAGCTCTAGCAACTGTATCTTTAATGCTAAACTTTGCCACAGAAAAAAAAAATTAATTGGTTTTATTTTCTAGGAAGTTTGCTTCCTGCTGAGGGGAGACCTCATAGCAGTCTGCAGGTTCCTCACAAGGGGAAAAGGAGAGAAAAGCACTGACCTCTTCCCTCTGGTAACAAGACCTGAGGGAATTGCATGAAGCTGTGTCAGGGCGATTTTAGGTTAGATATTAGAAAAATTTCTTTCTTGACCCAGAGGGTGGTGGGTACTGGAACAGGCTCCCCAGGGAAGTGGTCACAGCACCAAGCCCGACAGAGTTCAAGAAGTGCTTGGACACTGCTCCCAGGCACATGGCGTGACTCTTGGGGATGGTCCTGTGCAGGGCCAGTTGTTGGACTCAATGATCCTCGTGGGTCCCTTCCAACTCAGGATATTCTATGATTCTATGTAAAATAACAATAAATCCCACTCATGGATGTCAGAGTACCATTTAGTTTAATTCTCCACTGAAAGAGAATCCTTTTTGTGCATGTATAGAGACAGAGAGATGTATGTATATGCATGCAAACTGTTATATAGCTTCAGAAGAATTTTAAACTGCTTTTATAAAATTGCACCACCTTAAAAAGAAAAAGAAAGAAAAAAATTAATACCTGATGCCTTGTCTCCACATACAACACACAGATCAAACACTTTATTTAGGCCCTGTTCACTGGTGGAGTTGTCTGTTAAAATCTGAAAAGAAGCGTTAAAGAATTTAATATTTCTTTTCTTTACCATCTAGAAATAGTAAAATCTATCTCATGTTTGTGGTTTTTCTCTAAGATAGGGACTAAATCTACATTCAGAGACACTAAATAGCTACGTGCCATGTCACTGTGCTCCCTTTCAGGAGGGAACAAAATTTTTACTTGTAATAGCTTTGATAAGAATTCAAGATTTCATTTCTCTAAATACTACTTCTGCAAAATGGACTGACATTTTAAAAAACATTTAGCATCTGCATACTCTTACCTTTTATATTTATATCCTAATGACTCTTCCATAGTACAAAAGATATTGAAGCATGAATGCATACTGAACAGATAGAACAAAAAAAATCCCTTGTGAAGGCTACTATATCTGCACTCAGGTTTATTAACTCCTTTTTTTATAATACACATTAATAGTGGACCAATAGAAAACATCTTCTGGACACTATCATTAACTATCAACTGGTATACAGTTTAGCTTTCAAGTAACAGTTTGTCATTATTATTATTCTTGTCTTGTTTCATTCATTTATACCTGGTAGCTGTAAAGCTTCATTAAGCACATAATATAAGAATCCCAGTACTACAAGGTGGGCACTAGAATCTTCCATTCAATCTCTGAAAACTCTATCCCACCATAACATAAATAAAGCACAGCAAAAATTCAATTTAAAAAAGGAACACACAAATCATAAGTAACAACCAAACATAATCTTGATACAGAAAACAATATTCTTCCCATTAAAAAGAGAATACAGTTTAGAACATTTAAGAGTTTTTAACTTCTACTGTGTCTTAATGAGAAGCCAGACTCTCACTCTTGCTTCACATACTCACAATAGGACCCCTGATAGAAAGGTAAGTAAACAAAAGTGAAAAGTACCCTATCTTCTATAGAGAAAAATTAAGAAATCATGCTTTTTAGAAAGTTTGGATGATAGTATGATATATATAGGAAAGTTTAACAAGCATACTTCTTTCTAGTTAGACTTTTTTAACCATATTGCCCTAGAGATTAATCTCTTAACTTTTCTTCTAATAAAAAATCTTTTTAAGAAAAGTAAGATTGATGAGTTAAGAGAATATTAACCTTTTGTTCCTTCCAAATTTCCAGTATTAACATTATGCATTTTCATGATATTATATAAAATATATGTAAACATATTCTAAGTCCTTCCATAAATGAACCCTGCACTGAAATGGGAAGTTCCACATAAGGAAGGACTAAAAAAGTGAGCCCAGAAGGAGAGATAAAAATCCCAGACTCAGAAAACTCATTAATTGACCGTGAACATGAAGAATAAAAATTGATTATTAACATGAAAAAGACCCACTGAAGGTAAAACAGATGACAGGAGAAAGGGTCTTGCCAAATGAGTCAATGTAAAGATAAGATGCAATAACGGAGAGGGTTTTTTTGCAGAACAAACAAATGAGCATTTAAAGTGAAGGCTACAGAAGAAGAAAACAGGTGAAATTGCAGACGGAAAGATCATTTGAGGGAGAAAATACAAAAGATCCCAAAGAGGATGTAGATGAACAACAAATGAATGCTACTCTGTATTTCATGAACTTTTAAGCAGAGAAAGGAAATCTCTACCCATACATATTAGCTGACAACAGCACAATTTAACTAAAGTGACAGAACACTCTGTTGCCTCTCAAACTAACCGATTTTGCCCAAACTATACAATCAGAAGTACTCTTTCAATTTTTTGTCCAGATTTCCTCTGTTCCTGAATTTTGCCTTTTAAACCAGTGTGGCACACTCTCATCACTTACACCATCTTTGAAAATAATTTTTTATGGATGACTTCAAATCATTTCCCACTGGTTTATATTTTTTTGAGGCTTACCTAAAACACAAAGTGTATGATAACACTAAACATGCTTCAATGCCTTTTAATAGGATTGGTTTTTGCTACTGCTCCCCTATTCACAGTAATCAAATTCTTTGGAGCAAGGACCTTGGATGTCCATTTGCAAAGATTTGCGAGTTTCAAAAACAAAAGAATAATATAATTCAGAGATTCTTTCAAGCTTACACAACATGTGGGTAGTGAGTTAGAGTGGACTACCTCACAGAAGAGCACAAACTAAATGGATTAGGGGTCTTAAGTCAAAAAGAGATTACTTGAAAGAGGATAAAGTAGTGATTTATAAAAAACCCCACACACTTCAATATTTGTCTCTTATAGTGCAAGAGACATCTTATTAAATACTTCCCTCAGAAGATCAAATCAACTAAAGTATTCTTTGCACACCGTACAATACTACAGGATATTACACAGACCAAAGCATATGTGGTCTATAAACATAACAAAAAAAGGTTGTTTAACTTTCCTGGCAGCTATCAAATATGATGGTCTTGCCGCAGTCTCCAGATCAGGAGGTTGCTCTGTATTGACGGCTAACAGAAGAATATGATCAGAAAGATCATTATTTACTTGTCCAGTTTTTAATATTTTTCCTTAAGCAGCTATTTATGGTCATTGTAAAGTGTAAGATAAAGGACTAAAGGGACTGTAGCTATTGCAGTGTTGTCTGGCCTACCCCGCTGATGTATTTCACAGCAGCATAAATGTACATGGGTAAACTATGTGCAGTAGCTACACTTCAGTCGGAGCTCAGTAATCTCCTACTTCATGCTGTAGGAGGTCACATCTCCCAAGTCTTCTGTGCATATTTTTCACATTCTTCACACCAGTGCCATCCCATCCTTGTCAGGCTGAGGATGTGGGACAGAAAGCTTGGAGGTTGGAGGGTGACAACTAAGGAAGCAGCACATACAACAGGCATGGGAGTAAGGTGCACTGGGGACCAGTTTAGGAAGTTACAACCCTGGCTAGTTACAATCTCACATTAGTAAACTCAAAATTATTAGTGTTATTTTCCTTGAGTAATTATTAATGTATTTCCCTACTAAATAGTCTGACTAGTTACTATGGAGTACAATTCACACAGCTGAACTGCAGTTGCAACAGCGTACAAAAAGGAAAACAAGCAGAAGGAAATGTTAAATGATAAAGACAATGAAGAAAAGAGTATGTTGTTCAACAATACATGAAAACAGATGGAGTCAACGAGCAGAAATAAAGAAGGACTGTTGGTGTGGCAGGATCTGGAAATGACAGTAAAAATAACTGTATTCTTTCTAATGTCATGAGCCAGTATATAAATTTTAAAAGCAATAAATTTACTAAAAAAAATTTCTTCATAATTTTTGAGTATCCACAATGAGTCCTAGTGCAAGGAAAATTATACCTTAAAAAAAATCAAAAAAGAAGAACTCAGACAGATTTATTTGGAAATAAAACATCTTTTCTTATCCCATTTGAATGAAAATTATGAAATAAAGTGGATTATCTACCTGGATGTGTTGTGCAGAAATATCAGGGGATGCAAAAAACAGTTGGTTGACACCTGCAGCATCTGGAGTTGCTAGGATAACTTTTCCTGGAGTGGAATCTTGTCTGGCAAGGATCACCTTGCTTGGGGTAGAGCCATCATGATTTGTTAAGATGAACTGCTTGCCTGCTGAGCTCTGATCAAGTGCTGTAACAATCTGAATCTTCTGGCCCGTCTGCTGATCTGTGACAATCTAATAATACATTTATCTCAAATTGTTATGGTAATTTAAGTTAACCTTTGGGCCCAATCTGGGCACTTGAAGAAAACGGGAATTTTGCCTTTGACATTTGTGAAGCAGGATCATCTTCCCCTCCATCACACAAGAGCGAATTAAACTCGGGTGACAACTTGGATTGTCACTGTATTTGAAACACAACACTACAGAAACTCCTGAAAATTCTAGCATCCAGAACTCAAGGTATGTCTGTAGCTGAGCCCTAAGACCCATCAGGTTATGAAAAATCTTAACTCTTGAATTCATTGCATAGTATGTGAAGTGCTCAGCACCTCCTGGGTTTGGTTGCTTAACAAAAACTTCTTAAAAGCACAAATGTAGATATTCAAGCGAAAAAAGTAAGCATCAAACAGCAAGAGAAGCACTAATCTTGTTGCACCTGTATATACGTTTTAGGCTTCATTTTGTGGGGACCTTTTTTTTACATATACATTTCTAAATAAAATAAGTAAAACGGAATCTCTGTCCCTGCCATTTTCTTTTTTTTTTTCTTTTTTTTTTTTAAGGAAAAACTGCTTTTCATTTAATAATCAAGAACAAACCTACAGGCTGTTTTTTTCCATTTTATCCCTATTTTCAAGCACTAATACAGCAGATTAAATAATTATTAAATAATGTTCCATTTTTGCCAACTTTGTAAAAAGATTATAATCTGCAGAGAAAATCAAGATTCCATATATATTCCATTATAAATCTCACTTTTAGTCCCTTCATTTCTCCATCAAAATGCCTATATGGAAAACTGCCTGGTTTATTCTGGAGATTAAGGAGAATCATCCTGCAAAGACTGTTTCCTGCAAACTATTTTGAATTACAGATCAATAAAATAGCTTCTATTAACTTTTTTTTTTTATCCTATTACCAAACATTTATTTTATCTACCTATCCCTAACATTGATATAGTCCTTATTACTGATGAAATTATTTATTTCATGGTCTAACGGTTACCATAACTAGTTCCATAGTAATTGGGGTGGCAATATTAATTATATTTCCTAGGTGGAGAACCATGGCACAAAGAAACTGAATGAGACATAATTTCACACAAGTCTTCACGAACTTTGCTATTGCACCTTCACAACAGGTTTATTCTTTCTGTAAATGCTCAGTATACTTATATGGGTTTATAAAACCTGTATAGCTTGCATTTTGAAAAGATAAGCAGCAATGAGTATCTAATTTCAGCAGTTATAAAGTAATACTGACACTTTCAAATAGTCACAAATCGTGAGCTTCAAAATATACAAAATGAATGTGTTTCCTTCAGATGGCCTTGTGCTATTAACATTTTAATGGATCAAATTTCAATTTTTTTCTGTACTAAACACAATTAAAAGCTTATTTAAGAGAGAAGGCCAAGTAAGATGATAAAATTCTAAATACTAAAGAACATAAATTATCGTGAGATTTGGGGTGTAGGGTGAGAAGACAATGTAAAAACACACCAATAATTATCAACCTGATTAATTTTCCATTCAGTTTTCTCAGATATCTACATGTCTGGGACCACAAATGGCTACAGCAGTCCCTTATTTCTCCATTTAATTCCTTTACATTGGTTCTATATTCTTTAGAAGGCAACCTTCCTTGCCCTTTCAATTTTCTTCTTTTCTTAACTTCCTTTTCCTTCTTCTGTTTTCTTTCATTTACAATCTTTATTTCTCCTGTGACATTTCTGGCTATTTTCAAAGTAGCTGATGTTCCATTCCCATTCCTTCCAAACACATCTACTTTATTGGGATTAGGAGAAATCCAATGTGTTATCCTCAACAGGAATGCATATATATACAAAAGCCAAACACAGAATATTGTGCTGTTTCTTGAATTTCCAGACCTGCTCTTTGAAAGACAGTTGTATCTAAAATCTGTCTCCCACCAAATCTTAAAAGCACAACTATGTGTACATCAAAAAAGGCACATACTTGACCTAGTTAAGTTTATATAAAGTATCCTCAAAAAACCAGCATGTCCCAAAGGGAAGACACAAATTTGAACTACAGATAAACTTTTTTTGGGGATATATATACTAAATTATCTTTTTTCCTATTGTAGTCCAGTTGTGTAATTTTAAAAAAATATATGAATTTGCAAATAAATATGGCAGGACAGTAGGCAGAAGAAGCAGTGCTACTTCACACAATTCACTTCACCACCTCTTTGACAAATGGAGTCCCAACTCTTCAAATGAGTTCCTGCAATTCTGGGAGGATGCCCAGGTAGTTTTTACCACATGATATAGTAGGTACAGTGTTATGTTAATATCCATACAAAGCTGTTCAATCTGCACAAATGGTTTCTCAGCTGCCAAGCATTTTACAACTGACAGAGGCATAAGAGTAAGCAATTTAAACAATTAAGCACATTCTGTCTGCAGCTGACCTCTTATGGCCATATACCTGCAAAAACCCCACCCAAGCTGCAATGGGAACTCTGAAAAGTTCACTGAAGTGTAACAACTGGAAATACCTAAATGCTGAGATAAAAGAAAAAAATAATCAGAGGGAAAAAGCAAAACACTTATGTTCTCAAGGGAATCCATCTGGGATCAGGGACAACACATTATGTTTCTTAATAATCTGAAACTCAATATTGCTAAAATGATAATGTTATAGAACAGGAATATATCAATTCACGATTGACTGCATAAAAATACACTTCCCTCATGGATTCCATTTAAGCACCCTGATGATAATGGAGGTTATTATTTTCTTTTATTGCTTTCAAGCTTCTTAACAAGTTTTGACTTCCATTTGAAAATCATTTCAGTAAATTAAACACGTCAATAGTTGTGTGTTCCTACTATAGAAAAAAGAAACTGTCTAAATAAAGAGGACTAATCCAGTTTATAACAGCCTGTTTTGTGCAGAAATGCCTGTTTAATAAATCTGACATTCAATTTTTCTCTGAGAGAAATGTTAGCATTCCCTAAAAAGGGTGACTAATGAAACATGTTTTAAAGAACATTTTACTGAGTGTTCTGTATTTCAAAATTTCAGGTAATTATGTGTATTTAATAATAATAAAGGACAATAAAGGAAAAATATTGATCGAAAAATAATCTAACATTTATTTTGGACATTTCACTTAGATGCATTTATGTCTACACACTTCTTTACTCTTCACATTAATTCTTCGCTGAAGAAAGTTTTTATTACTAAGTTTGATACTGGTGACACATTTGTAGAAGTCTATTGCAGGAAGGATGCCATTTGACTGAGTGTTGTTCCACACATATCAAGAGACAACCACCAAAGTGCTTACCATCCATTTTGAAGACAGAATTAATGAGCATGATGGAAAAAGACAAGGAACAAGGTAGCTGGGTTAGTAACAAGTGATCTTTCAGCTACATAAGACACTGAAAAACTACATAAAGGTCTCTGTCCCTAGAAATACAACTATTCTATGTTCATTATATTTGCAGTAATTACAGTGCCTAACCAAGAGCAGGTCTTCCCCCACAAAAAAGCTGTCAGAGAAGGGTTAGAAGCCTGCCACTGGCTGTGAACCAACAGCACTGTTCAACAGTAAAGGCTCATAGGCTTGTATGTTGTTGTCTCCCATTCAGACCCTGATGCTGAAATTTTATCAAATGGCTTCACACTACTGGGATATTATAGCATACAAGGAAAATCAAGGGCAAAGAGATGGTGGTTAATTGATGAACATATATCAGTTAATAAAAGGTACAGTTGCACACAAAGTGTGAAAAAAGGAGTGGAGATAGCTGAGAGAATAAAGATCTACTGGATAGGTAAGACTGGTACCATGACTAGAGCACAGGATGGGTGGTAATAAAACTAAAAATACCCCAACATGTACGGGGGGTGGTTGTGAAGAGCCTTGGAAGGTCGAAAGCTTGAACATAATGCGCCAAAACAGGAAAAAAACAGAGGACAACGTTGAAGAGTGAAGTCGGCAAAAGAAAAAGCAGCCAAGATTATACTAGAGGCTGGCTCGCTTAAATGGGTGTTTTTGTATGAACAACATATATCTAAGAATACTTTTTACATTTATTCTGCAGTTGATATTTTTCTCTACGATGAAAATTAAAAATAAAACTTATACAAGGATTTGCACTAACTTTTAAGGGATAAAATAAAAAAATTCCACTCCCCAAATCTTCCTAATCTCCATATACACATTTGTATGTCGATTTAATTACCTACACTGCCAAAAATCTCCTCACTGGAACTGGAGATTATTACCTGGCCAGGTTATGAACAGGACATATAACATGGGTTGGGACAAGGAAAAACCAGTATCCTCCTCAGACATTAGGTTTCCTTGCACCTTTTCATGACTTGGATCAATGATACAATGCAGTATTTGACTCCCCCACGCTCTAAAATGTAGAAATGCTCCAACTCAATTGAATTACCAAATCTACAAAATATTCAACTTTCAAAGAACAGTATCTTTACAGTACTGGAAAAAGTATTTTCCTGCTCAGTGAATAAAGTTGTTTATAATGTTTAAATTCATATGAGAAAAAAAGGGGGACAAAAAAGAGAAGATTGTAATGATGTTTTATTTCTGTTTATATAGAAAGGGTCTCTGCCACCCAGGACTGAATGTTTACATTAAAGCAAGTAACATGATGCAAATAAAAAAGAACTGTATGTGAAAACTGGCAGAAGCAAATAGTTCATCTCTGCTTTTAAAATGTATGAGATGAGGCATACCTGTATACGTTGTGATAAAGAGAGGCCTGAATCCGTAGGGACAATCTGGATTCGTTGTGGTGTCCCATCCATTAGTGTTTGTGTAGCAGCTTCCTGTGAATGTGTAACCTAGAAAGAAGAAACAAATGTAATGGATTGACAATGCATATACTATTTTAGTGGATCCACTACCTTAATGGATTAAATCCTTAAGTTTCACCAGCCTTTGATTTCCCCGAACAAGGCTCTGGAAAGTCTGATGCTGTTATTCTATAAGGAATGCAAATGCTTGTAATCTAATTTAACAGCTTAATTTTGCTAGTTAGAAAATTCTGTTTTAAACCCATTTTGAAATACTTTCCAATATGAAATTTAGAAACACATTAAGTAAAACAATTAATTGCTGACAAGTCTATGTAAGTGAATCAAACAATATTTATTGCTGTTGATGTTCATGAGGCACAATACCTATCATCAGAGCTGTGCTACATTTGCACTAAAATACTCTAATGACTTACTTAAAAGTGACAAAAGAATTTTTGGTGTGGAAACACAGCAGTGGACCATTTCTGTTCTGTTTTTCTGTTACAGCAGCAAAACCAGAACAACAGAATTCTATACTGGGGAACTATCAAGACAATTAGAGAAAATTAATAAATCACATGGAAATGGCAAGAAATATATCATATTAAAATCTTTGTGTGAATGCTCTCAGGCACAATTCATGGAAGCATTTTAATTGTCAATATTAAAAAAAATTCTTCATATCCTAAAGCCGAGGGTATATGGGGGAAGGTATTATTTATTAAATTACTTGTCAATAAAAATTAAGTACAGCTGCTATTTACAGAGGCTTGATCAGAAAGGCCATACTTTTTGTAGTACAAAGGAAATTTGTCTTTACAGACATCAAACTGAAATTTTTACCTTAAATTCTGGAGTAAGTCCAAAAACTTTTTGCAGTTCACAAACTCTATCTGAAAATCTGTAATTCCCAGTATTTACACCATTATACATATACTCCTCTGCACCTGATTCTCCTTCTGCCCCTCCCAGTTAACACAGGGAATATATATCTATATTGCAGTAAAGTACTGTTTCATAACGGGTTGTGAGCTTTTTTTGTTCCTCTTGGATCAGCTTCCTGATTTTGCAACCATCCTACCATGTCAACGCCAGTATCAGCAGAAGAAAGCAGGTCAGAATATGTGGCTGGAGGTCAGTGTGAGAAGGGGACAGAGCAGTGAGTAAGACTTCCCCTTACAGCAGAAATACAAGCTCCCATCAGCCTAAGTTGATTTTGAAATTTTACCCAAGAAGGCATTATTTTTGGCACCAGTCTTATCATCTACTTGCTCCTCTCCCTTCACTTTGGTAAGTAAAACTGGCTGGCTAGTCACACTGATCTGGAATAGGACACCAATGCAGCTTGAAAAGCAGCTCAGCAAACAGACAGACAAAAAAAGGATATTCTTAGCACCCATCAAACCTTCAATCCAGATCTCCACAATGCTCAGAAGCAGAAGCATCAGAGCAATGAGTGAGTGGGATTAAGCTGCTGGGGGCATTGCTTAAACTGCCAGCACCATCAAAAGACATGCTTGTCAAACTAGTTCTCAAGCCATTTCTGAACACTGCTTTCTAAAAATACCTGATTTTTTAAGTACTTTCCATAGTCAAACAATTCATCCACTTCTTTGCTTAAGCAAAGGACAAAAAAGTGCTCATTATGCAGCAGCATTTTGAGTTTCAGAGAGAGACTTTCAGGCACTAAAATTCTGCATCAGCCTTACAAAATGACATGTACTCACAGTGACACAGAAGCAGCTGAAGTTTTATGTGCGTTTATCTTTGCTTTACAAAATAAACTATATATTACAGGACTGCTTTACATTTGCTCCCTCAAAATGTCATGATCTACATGATGTGTAAGGTAAAGTTGCTCTCTAACTCCACAAAATGTCAGCTTGACAATTTTACTTCATACAGAATACAGTTTTTATGCAGTTAAAAGAGTACTGATAAAAATAACTGCAATATTTGTTAAAAACTGTATTTTGTATGCCTGTGACAGACTCTGTTTCAACAAATATATAGCTTTCCTTTGTTACAGTAAACTGGTAGGACTGTGGAAACAAAACCCCATACACTTAGTATATAGCCACAGACTGAAGAAAGAAGAATGCTGCTGCTCTCAGCAGGTAACTTCCCTACATGAATCAAGGAATGTGATCTTGATGTAGAAATAGGAACTATCTCACACTGAGCAAAAGACAATTAGCAAATGGAAAAATTTGAGAAAAGACAATCATTGCACAATGCCCCTTACAGGCAGAGTTGTATTTTGCTTTAATGTTTTGCTTTTATGCAAAAAAGCCCTAAATTAACAAAAGCATGTTTGTGAACATCACTGTAAAATAATTTGTGATAATTTTATGATTTAAAATGCTTCATGAACAATTAATATTGTAAAAAAATCAATTACTACGGCACAGAACACTTCTGACCGTTATTTCAATGAGACACAGTAGCATTTTCTATTCTCCTCAGAATGGAAATACCTGTCTTTTTCTTTTCATGTTCTACTCATATAAATTTTTCTTGTAAATTCAATTAAAACTACTACAACATTCAAGAGAATTACAAATGCTAGCAAAAATACTGCTGAAGTTCCATAGATCTTAAACTATGATTTTTCAGTGCTTACATGGATCAGGAACACGACCAAGCAATTACAGCCTGTGGGTAGGTAGGAATGTAAGCTACTACATGAAGGCTGTGAGACTGCTTTCCTTGCTGACTCCACCTTTCAGGCAGCACACTCATACACGGCATGCACCTCTGACAGTACTTTCGGCTTAAGGAGTCCCTCCTTATACGGCCCTGGGTGATGCTTTTCCGTCCTTCCAACCATGTGCCTGGGCGGCTGCACATTGTACAAAATAAGGACAGTGATCACAACTGGGAAGGAGGCAAACCTTCCTCCACTATCCTGCAATTCTTTTTTTTTTGAGTTTTGTACACCACACAGCGACACACAGAACTCACATGGGCAAGACTAGCATAGCGTGAGAATAAATGGCTAAGCGAGGACTGGGGAATGCTTAAGCTGCATTGCTGCCAAATACAGTGTGACGGTCTCAGACACAGTAAAACCTTGCTAAAGGACAAATCCTAAGCCACACCGCTGACAAAACAACAGCCATGAAAACTGCAGAGCTGCAATTTCACCATGAACAGAAACAGCCAAGAGCTCTCCGCAGCATCGCACCTTCACTGCCTCCATCTTGTCCCCTGCCTTCCTTTGGCTATCAGCCATTTCCTTTACGCTGCCTCCGGTACACATTAGAGCCCTCTCAGACTTACTCAATGCTAACACAGCAGAAAACATTCCATATGTTTTGACTGAGTTATTAGCTTGCTGTTAGTATGGAAATTAAATAAGGTAAGAAAGAGAGGAAGGACCCTCTGTCTCCTATGGCACTGAGATGTTAAGTCAGCTCAGTGTCTCATGGAATCACATTATGAAATTGAGAAGCAACTTTCACAGAGGCTAAACACTGTCATCATGCCACCCTCTTTTCTGAGTGAAATGTACACTTCAGTTAGCTTTGATTAGCCTTGTACTTTCAAAAAGAAAAAATTTAAACAGGAAATACAGCCTATTCTTTCCACAAGGAATTATATTCCCAAACCAAAACTACACTAGAACTACATTCTCACCTAAAAAGAGGACAAGTAATGAAAACATCATACATCACATAAATCCTGTATGTTTTTGAAAAAGCCTTAGCAACACTCAGATGCTTCAACTGCAAAAGCTGTAAGAAAAAGCTGTAAGAATTTATTCAGAATAGAATTAACCATCCCACCCCCTGCTCCAACCTTTCCATTTGAAATCAAGACCGAGAGGAACTAAAATTATTTGAGAAGTAAGTCTATGTCTAGACAAGAAATCAAGAGTGGATATTTCCAGCTAAAAATACCATTTATTTTAAGATAAATTACTGCCTCTATCTAATTTAAAGTGGTGCTAATTTTAAATAGCCTATCCTATGCTACGACCCTCTAAATAAGTACATATACTCATATTCATACTCCGAAACTATCTGTGCATCTCTAGTTCTCTGGCTGCAGTACATAGGTTCTGCACATGGGTTACAGAGAATGAAAACTAGAAGTCTGCAGAAACAAGAGTCTTCAGTCTTCCTTTTTGACATATACCAAACACCAACAAATATCTTTACATGGCAAACCTTTATTAGTGAAAACAAAAATGACAACTGAAGCAATCGCATAGTTGGAAAGTAAAAGCTATGTACTGACTTCTGTAACTACAAGTGAGTAAAGCAATTACACAACCAGATGGCTCTCTGAAAACCACTAGAGACCAAAACAGCAGAGCTGAACAGTTAGTCTCTTACTGAAAACACTACTAGATTTTTCTTAATTTCTGTGGGGTAAACTTTGGTAAAATAGACTTTGCAGCATAACTTAAAACAGACACGGTAAGTTCTTCTAGCCTTCCAGGGGAGAGTGTCAGAAGCTTTGGCTGTACTAGAAATTTTCTCTTGTGAGTTTGGTTTTTACATATCAGTCTGTACATTTTATTATTCAATTTCTCTTAAATAGGACTCAAAATTTATGTACCTCTCCCATTTGCTGTTCAAAAATTTGATGGGCCAGTTCCTCTATGGTTGCCATGATCTTTAATCACCAGAATTTCCTGTCAAAGAAAGGAAAGAAGATGCTTAACATCTGTAGTCTCAAAAGTAAAAATATCTTGGGGAACATGGAAGTTCACGGAAGTGCATTTACAGTTTTCTGAAGATGACATCCCTGAGGAATTTAAAGTTTGATTATACTGTAAAAGTAATAATTTATTTTCTATTTGGTTTACTCATAGAGAATTCCTATTTTTTTCTTCTGCTTTCCCAAAGAGCAACAATACAATACAATCCCTGTGAGAAAAGAAGCCTGTCACTGACCATGACATCCACAGGGACATATTTAACACCTTAAAAAACTGGAACATGGACAGTTTTGTTAATGCAAATCAAGAGGGGCAAACCTAACTTCTCCTGAAGTCATACTGTCTTTTTATTATTAACAGGAGTGCTTGAAGATTGACTTTGTCACTAATGGGAAACACTACTTGGGACGCAGAAAATACATGTTTTAAAAAAACGATGCTGTTTTGTTATCAATACTGTAGCTACAGCACATGCCATAATCTTCATAAGAAGAATTTTGTAGGGTTTAACAGACACTATTACATTAATGCAGCATAAAGGACTCAGATGTATGCCTTGTTTATTTGCGTATTGACATACAAATAGTCACTAGGCAGTACGTGAACACGCACAAACTATGGAGCATCATATAAACACAGTTTTACTGACAAAAGCTGCATTAAAATCACTGCAATACCTACTTCTTATAAGAACAAAAACAGTACTCTTATACTAATACAGCTAGTTGGTTTACACTCTTTAACTTTGCTAGAACTTCTAGGAACTATCTCCTACCCCAGTGATCTCTAAACTTCCTCAATCAGCCATGCAAATATAAAAAATATAAAAATATAAAAAACTCATTTTGAAGCTAATTCTGCCCTTACAATTGGAAAGAGAAATCTCTTTTTACTAGGCCAGAACTGCAGGCCTTGGAGGTGTGCACAGTGGGGAAATACAGAAATATTTTGGCACTGTAGACTGTTCTTAATCACTCACTAGCATGCTGCATTATTAGTTAAATTAAGACAAAAGATGACAGGCACACACATAAAAAAGTGTAAGACTGGAGCTTATGCCGAAAAGCATTATCTCCTAAAAAGATCTAATAAGTGGTAGCATCCTTGCAGGAGCACTCTATTAACCCACTTCGGCATTCAGTGAGCTGCAGCACAATCACTATTCAAAGAGCATCTACAATCTTCAAGACAAGCCAGTGTGTTTTATCAATGTTTTCTTATTTCAAATAAAATACTAGCAACAAAATATTGCACTGTTAACACACACAGGGTCAGAAACTGGTACTATTTTCTTAAAAAAAAAAAAAACAGAAAAAAAAAAGATTTAATGTCTTAAAAGAAAATTAGGGCACTATTTAGTAAGAAACACACTTTTGGGCAAGACAGATATATTTTTTGCAAAGTTATTTCAAAGGAAGACCTTACTGCTTCATAACAATTTGACATACCAGAAATATTGTGCATATGGTAATTCTTCAAAAAAGTAAGAGTAAACTAAGTAAAATGCTGACATTCTAGTCTGATCTCAGAGCTGATCCCATTTTGGGTGGGGTTTTGGACTAGAGATCTCCTGATGTCCCCTCCCACCTGGGATATTGTACAACTCAAAGATGCACCATTTTCTTAAGCTACAGAAACATGAGTTGCTTGCAATTACAAAAAATCCCCTATTTTTTTAAAATTAGTTTGATTTGCAAAATGTTTTGACTGCTTCCATATAGGTCTACTGTGCAGATATTTTCAAGGACACAATAAACCATTATCTAAAGTTTTACTTCATTACATGTCTAGTTTAAAGAACTATGCACAAGAAAGCTTATTTTGTGTAGTTTAAACTACATGTTCCCTTATCTCTGCCTGTTGAGACAGCAGTAACATCTTCCATTTTGCAACTGGTCTCTAGCACTTTCTACATTACTTTCCTGAAACAAACTAGATTACATATTATTTTCCCATCAGAAAAGCCTGTAACAAAGCATGATTATGACCTCCTCAATTTTAGCCGTATTTACCAACAGAGCCTACAGCTTTACCTTTATTTACAGCTTTGCCTTCATTTTATGCTTTTCTAAAACTCCTGCAGAATTAACATGTTCCAACAAGAATACTTAATACTAATTATTATTGCTATAGCTGTGTTGCACTAGCTCAGCAGCAAATGGAAATTAACAATGCCATACAGTGAAAAGTTTGGCTAGTGAAAGCTACAGTCAAATACTGAGCTTGCACAGGAGGCAAAATCTGGAAAACTACTTTTACAGAACTTGACTCAGACATCAGGAATAACATAAAAAAAATCTTATATCTGTGGCAATGCAAAATTATAATTAAAGATTCTCTTTAATGTTCTCTGTCATACGATTACTTCAAATTAACATAGTAACACATTAATATTTTGGCCACCGAGTCAGTAAATGAAAGAAGGAGGTACCTAATTTCTTCAAGCTTCTCCTGCTACCTTATTCAAAACAATTCAGTCACCAAAATGGCCAGCCCTGACCTGTCTCATGGCCTGAGCTTTCAATATCTCTCCCTGCTCCCACTACTGATACATCTGTGACTTTGCAGCCAACAGCAAAGTGTTATTTTTGCCAGTGTTAGTTCTCAGCCCAAGGAATGACTTGCCCTTGCTATACATTACCCTGCAAATGCTACTGCTGTACCAGTGGTGGAGGGGAACTGTAGGTCACACCTTTCCACAGCAGCTGCAATTTACATCATCTTAAGCCATCTGAAGCCTCCCATGCTTTCCCACAGCTCTGTAATTTGTTGTGAGATGAGCCCTGGAGCTTAGACACACTTATTTTTAGATCTTACAGAAAACCTGGTGAAGAAACAAGAAACAGAGAATGAAAAAAAGCAACATACAGCCCCAGGTGAAGTGGCCTAGCACAGACTTCCGCTCCATAAGCTGAAGTACTCTACAACTTGGAGATTGACACTGATCTATCTTCTTGCTTTGCTATTTCTAGAAAGGGTATGATTTTCTAATTACGAGAAATGTAAGTCAAAGCTACTTAAAAACAGTGAGGAAGATAGTGCAGTTGCAGAAGTTTCACACACATATGCTTAGAGATAAACTTTGTATTGTCTAGTAGAAACACACTTCAGCACAGATCTTTCAAGTTTTCAGCCTTAGTAGTTAGCCCTCCAGCAGACAGATACTGAACTTTTCAAGTCCTAACACCGAACCAAATCGTGTCTCATCTTTGAGATGCTGAACTTTTTGCTCTTGAGCTTGGAATTTGTGTTCTTTGCCAGATTGCCAAATCCTCACCAAGAGCATAGGTAGAATTTGTACTGGTTATGGTAGAGTTCTGTTTTGGTGCTGACACCTCTCTGCAACAAGATCTCTCTCGTGAGCAAGACAAATAGCTATGAGAGCAGGTATGTTTACATTATTAATTCAGGGTTATCAAACAGCACTAATAAAATACTGAAAATACTCAGGTCTCTCAAATCCAGAACTGGCTATAAGTATCCTTATTCTTAGAAGCAATGTAATTATATTGTTTTACTCCTAAGAGCAGTGGAAGTGGTTCTCTAAAAGAGATTCCCTGACTTGATGCTGTATTTTTGCAGGAATCCTAAATTAGAGATGAGAAAAAAGCAGGAAGGAATTTGGAACAGAATAGTGTGTTATCCAATCACAACCTCCAAGATGTACTCAATTGTAACAATTATCTAAAAACTCCCAAAATAAATAAAATTAAAGAAAACCCAAAGGGCAGTGGTAAGCAAATCTTCTGACAAACTGTTTAGAATCAAACAGCTTTAAAGGTAATGCTTGTTAAATAAAAACCTAATGAAATTACAATGGACTTTGAAAGCCTGACTAGATTAATATTTCCTAAATAAGTGATGTTCCTATCCTTCCCCAATCAGAAAGATTTTATTGGTCAAAAAGATTTTCTTTGAAATATGATTCTCAGAATTAAAAAAGAGAAATTTGTGTTCACAGGAGTTTTCAAACCCAAGTATTTCTGAACTTGAATTCACGAGCTATGAGCTTCAAGTATGAATCTCATACATCTCAATCCTGTTGAGACACAAAAACCTCAAACAAAAAAAGCTTTTAAATTGCTTATTTAATCATTCTGTTCTGCTAGTTAGATCATCCTGCAGCTCTGAGGCACACTTCTACAGCATAGACTCAGTAAGAAACAAAAAGACTGACCTTCAGAATCAAGAGGTGTGTGCTTTAAGGAATTACTTTGCACCTGCTACTTAGTTCTGCTAAAGCAGATGCAACTGCCCTCATAGCCAAGATGTATTTCAAGTCAGCTTGAAAACTGAAAGTGATTCAAACTGACATGTTTTACCTTGGAGTGAAGCAGTGAAGGAATACATATGTATTCAACTGTGAAGCACCAGTCATAGAGAAATTAGCTCTCAGAGAGGCATAAACCATTACAAGTGAATTTTTGAGATTTATCTAAAAGAGACATCTGCTTCTCATTTGAACTAGACTTGCATGAACACACGATTTCAAGTATACAAACAAGACTGAACTCTTACAATGAAGAGGAACCTAGAGAAAAGGTTGAACCTGTCCTATCTCTTCATGCTGTCTGGAATAAGCACAAAGAAATTCAACCTATGGATGCAAAACCAACTGTCAAAGCTGAACAAATCATCTGAGTATGAGCATGTGAGGCATGCACACAATGGAAAGGAACATACTTGCTGAGTATTATTGACAAGAACTGACATATTAATCACACGATGTTTTATATTTTGACACTTGCAATATCAATTTGCTTAAACATTCAGCAGTAGGTTCTTTTGTGTGTTGTGGCTTTATTTAACTTGGTGATCTCTAAACACAAAGGCACTGACAAAGCCAGTAACACCAGCACTCTGTATTAAAATATCTTAATTTAAATCACCTCCATGTGACCTTCCTCTGAAGAGTACATATAACGGTGAAAAAACTCACCAACTTCAATATTTCAATTACAAACTTTTAGGCAGCATTTCATGTTGCAGCCCAACTACTGAAATGGAGAGCTGAAAAAGGCATTCCTATCCCATTTCCCATTTCTGCTTTATTACTTCATCTCTTCTTGCACTGGCATACACTGAGAAGTCAGTCCAAGCAACTAAACTGACAGAAACCTCTTAGTTGCAGAGTCAGGGTATAGTTTCAAAGGCAGTTTGAACAGAATTATAGCTCACACCCAGGAAGGTCATCCCGACCAAGCTGTGCTGGTTTTGACCACATACTAGGAAAATTCAACTCACTAAAGACAGAAAATTCACCTGGCAGAAATGCAGCAAACATCTGCTAGGTAAGCACACTGACCTGATTTACCTGGCAGTCAGATTCATTCTACCACAAACAAAAGGGAGAACACGTTGTTAGAAGGCAAGAGAAGAAGGAAAAGAGGAGAGATTAAGAATGAGGCAAACCTCCATTTCCATTGTTGTTGTTGGGAAGCTGAAAATTCAGTTGAACTGCATGATAAAGCTGTACCCTTTTCTTCTGGCCCAGCCAGCTGTCCAATGCAGCTCACCCTGGAATCAGACAAGCTCCACAGCCAGTTATGTTGAAGCAGCAAGGCCACCTCTTTGAGGAGCAGCCACGTGCTGTGCATCTTGCCCTGGGGACAGGGCACCAGGACAGGTCAAGGGGAACTGGCTATCTAAAAATTCTAAGCTAACTGTGGGACAGCTGTAAGTTTTGCAGCTCACATTTTGCTTACCTAAGGTATCTGTTAGACTTCACATCAGCTATGCTTAATTACTCTTTAGAGATCCCTGCAAGGAAAAAAATGCTTTAGCTATTTTTCTTCTATGTGAACTTAAAAATTTAGCACATTTTTCATGTTTTCAAAAGTTTATTTCCCTGAGTTGCTCCAGCCAGCATTCTCAAAAGCTGAATTGTTTCATATGAAATGATAAATATATTCTAAACTCAAAGCTACCTGGAACTGAGAAATATTCCTTTAACACTTTATTATAAACCTTCATTTTCCAGCAAAGACTTGGTAGATGAGGAAAAGGCTATGGATGTTGTTGATCCAGACTTTAGTAAAGCCTCTGACACCATCTTCCACAGCATTCTCCTGGACAAACTGGCTGCTCATGGCTTAGACAGGTGCACTGTTCCCTGGGTAGAAAACTGGCTGGATAGACAGGCCCACAGAGTGGTGGTGAATGGTGCTACATCCCGTTGGCAGCTGGTCAGCAGTGGTGTTCCCCAGGGCTCAGTATGGGGGTCAGCCCTGTTTAATATCTTTACTGACAACCTGGAAGAGAGGATCGAGGGCACCCTTGGTAAGCTGACAGATGTCACTAGGCTGGGCAGAAGTGTTGACCTGCTGGAGGGTAGGAAGGCTCTGCCGAGGCATCTGGACAGGCTCCATCACTGGGCCAAGGCCTGTAGGTTCTCACTGGCTGCTGGCTGAACGTGAGCCAGCAGCGTGTTCAGGCGGCCAAGAAGGCCAATGGCACCCTGGCCTGTAGCAGAAATAGTATGGTCAGCAGGACTAGAGCTGTGACTGTCTCCTTGGCCATGTACTTGGCCATGGTGATGCCACACCTTGAGTTCTGTGTCCAGTTCTGGGCCCCTTACTACAAGAAAGATGCTGAGGTGCTGGAGCGTGTCCAGAGAAGGGCAACGGAGCCAGTGAAGGGTCCGGAGCATGAGTCTGATGAGGAGTGTCTAAGGGAGCTGGGGGTGTTTAACATGGAGAAAAGGGGGCTCAAGGGGAACTTATTGCTCTGTACCTGAAAGGAGATTGTAGCCAGATGGGAAGCAGCTACTTCTCTCAAATAACAAGGGACAAGACAAGAGGAAACCACCTCAAGTTTAGATTGGACATTAGCACTGAAAGGGTGGACAGGCGTGAGAACAGGCTGCCCAGGAAGGTTGAATCACCATTCCTGAAGTGTTCAAAAGGCACATGGATGTGGATATGGTTTAGCAGTAAACACAATCGTGCTGGGTTAACAGCTGGACACAATGTTTGAGGTTTTTTTAACCTTAATGATTCTGACTTTAACTATCATCACAGTCTGAGTTTTGATCTTCAATAATCAGAAGTGATCTTTGAGGTGTTCTCATCTAATGTGAATCTTCCTGATTTCAGACATGTTTTCTGCACTTGTCAAAACATGCCACACATCTTCAAAGCACACACCAGGCAATATATGAGGAATGTTTATTGCTAGTATAGGAAAGAAGTAGATTGCTAGTATAGCAAAGAAGTAGATTGAGTCAAATAAGTGATAGTTTCTTCCCTGAGAATGCTCCATTCTCCTTTCAAAGGTGATAAACCAAAAACTTTATCCAGATGCTTAAGACTGCTAATCACATTTGAATTTCCTTTCTAAAATTATCTAAAACATTGAAGGGATGAGAGTTGGAATTCTAAAAGAGAGCAGAGAACACAACGTGAAAAAAATTGCACATACTTTAAGGATCTTCTTTATAATGTCCAAGAACTGTAATATATTATTACCACAAGAGAGAAAGGAGAGCCAAAGCTCCTGTCAATACATCAAGGACTACATTGTTTACAAACATTGCCCAAATATTTTTTACTTCATTTATCTCTCACTTTGAATACCTTGCAAAAATTATTTACTTCGCTCAGTTTCAACCAGCAAGTCTTTATTTGCTTATAACTAAAGTATTTCTTAATTGCTCTACTAGTTTCCCTGTTTCACATCAGACTTAAGATCCTTGCCTTTACTTCTACCACAAAGTTTCTGAAAAATGAAGTGGTAAGAAATGCTTTGTCCCATGGCCATTTAGCTAATGATACTGTCACAGCTTAAGCTCTTACTTCCTTCTATAACTTTTTGCAGATCTACCGCTAATATTTGAAACACTGTAAAACTACAAA